ATTTCGTTGCGTATTTGTTCTTTGGATAATAATAAGGTGACTAACCTGGTAATTGATGATGTGAAAATCATTAGAGTTTTGATGATACATGATTTCTTGTTGTTGCATTCAGTATTTGATTTGGTGCTTTCTTACAGCAACTCAAAATGATGTGATTTATGGTAGTTTACAGCAACTCAAGTTGACTGATACAACTTTATTTCTGGTCAATTTTGTTGGTTTCAGGTTTTGAAATGTGAGTATGCTGTTCGTGGAGAGATTGTATCAATTGCTCAGGTAGTTCATGGTTTTTGTTTGTTGACTTTTGTAAACTGAATATTGAACCTGTATTTTGGACTTCTGTTGATTGAGCCATTATATAATCTGGATCTGCTGAAGAATTTTTTATTGTCTGTACACATTTTTCTTTTTGATGCAGACATTGCAGCAAAACCTCAAGGATAATCCAGGTTCTCATCCTTTTGATGAGGTACAAACTCTTGTAAACTGGTTTTCGTCTTCATGTTTTTGCTTTACAATGCCATGCTTTATAAATACTTCATTATCATTTATGTAACTGATGCTGGTCTCTGGACTATAGCTTCGATAGAACTATTCTTACCGAGCTTTACATAGGTCATAAGTTGATGACCTGAACTAGGTACTGTAATGTTTTAAGTTTTCTGGATTTATTCTATACTCATTCATCAGATTACATGCAGATCTTATATTGCAATATTGGAAATCCTCAATCACTGGCTCAGCAGCCTGTCACTTTCTTTAGAGAGGTGGGCGTAAATTACTCTATTTTTTCTCCCCAAAAATTAATTGACTCATCCAGTGATTTCTAAGGTGGATTTTTCTATATTAGGTCCTTGCATTATGTGATCATCCATCCATTTTGGACAAAAGTGAAACACAAGGTCTATTCAGGTATGAAGTTTGTCTATGAAGTTTTTGGTTATGCTTTAGAAAGAGGAGATCTTTTCAATACACAATATGAAACTGGTTGTAGACTTTGAGATCTTGCAATAGCTGTCTTTCATTCTTTCTTTGCTTTTGTAGTGCCGATGCCATAGAACGAGCTTTCCAGATCCTTGAACAAATTCCTGGGAGAGCAACTGGTGCATACAGCCACAGTCAGGTGACTGTCTTCTCATGAGATTGTTCCATATTTGAGGAGTGTTATGTAGGTTCGATAAATATAAAACTTTTTATTGTGTTCTCTATATATAGGGTATCAAAGGATTACGTGACACAATCGCTTCTGGTATGGAAGCTCGTGATGGTTTCCCTGCTGATCCAAATGATCTTTTCTTGACTGATGGTGCAAGCCCAGCGGTAGGTTAAATGTATATTCTTGTTATTTTCACAGCTTTGTGGGAAATAGTTTATAGCGAATCTGACGTAGTTGGTATTGTTGCTTCTTTACCTTTTTATTCAGGTTCACATGATGATGCAGCTGCTCATCAGGTCAGAGAATGATGGAATTCTCTGTCCCATTCCCCAGTATCCTCTTTACTCTGCTTCAATCGCCCTCCATGGTGGAACACTTGTAAGTTCTGTTGCTTCAAATAAAATTGATTTATGATAGCTGCATAGTTGGCTGAAATTGTTGAAAATGAAGATTGATGTCTATAGAAATATTACGGAAGGCCTAGTTTGACTGCTCTTGTGAGAGTTTCTTGTGAAAGTACAACTAGTGCATGCATTGATCTGATCAACTTATGCTTGAAAGACCCTTTATTGATTCTTGAAAGATAATTCATTGGGAAGTTCTTAATATTTGCATTTCATCTTATTTTGTAGGTTCCTTATTATCTTGATGAACAAACAGGATGGGGGCTTGAGATCTCAGAGCTTGAGCATCAGTTGAAAACTGCAAAATCCAAGGGTATTGATGTTAGGGCTTTGGTTGTGATCAATCCGGGAAACCCAACTGGGCAGGTAGGCGTTTAATAATTTTGGAAGGCTCATCTATGATTTTCTTCAGAATTAGGAACATAATATACTTCTCTGACTAGATACTGTTGCAAAGGAATATAATTCCTTCTCCTGCTTCCCCAAAAAAATTAAAAAGAGAGGATAAAAGATGAAAAATAAAAAGTAGAAAAAAATTTCCTACCTAACCTTTTCATATGGCATGAATATTTTCCTATGCATAACTATAGGTTCTTGGTGAGGCCAACCAACGGGAAATTGTAGAATTCTGCAAGAAGGAAGGACTTGTCCTTCTGGCTGATGAAGTAAGTCAATTTTATCCTCTAAAATACTACTATGCTTGATATGACAAATTCTTTTGCTTCCTCAAGAGCTTGATTATCAGCGGCTCTAAACTTGTTTTTAAATGTTTCACTATCAGATTTTGCATTACGGAGAAATCTATGGTTGTATTAAACTTCAACATTGTAATTACTTTCATAATTGGTTGAACTCATACAGGTCTATCAAGAAAATGTTTATGTGCCTGACAAGAAATTTCACTCATTTAAGAAAATTTCCCGCTCTATGGGATATGGGGAAACGGATATATCCTTAGTGTCTTTTCAGTCTGTGTCAAAAGGTACATGTTTCACTTTATCTTGCCTCTTTTATTTCTTTGGGTAGTGGGTCAGGATGGTTCAAGGGGATAGGAAGTTATATTCTTCCAATGCAAATAATTTTTGTTCTAATCTTTTTATATATATTGGTGGCTTTAGGGTTCTATGGAGAGTGTGGAAAGCGAGGAGGTTACATGGAGGTCACTGGTTTTAGCCCTGCAGTGAGAGAGCAGATATACAAATTGGCGTCTGTCAATTTGTGTTCCAACATCTCTGGTCAGATACTTGCAAGTCTCATCATGAGTCCCCCAAAGGTTGGTATTGGCCCTATGTTGCTCGGACTCTCCAACAATGAAGCCTTATCTGTGTCAGATACTCCAAAAATGCACTACTTTTGGAGGATCCAACACGCCCAGTGGCAATTTTTGAAGAGTCTGAGCTCATATAGTATTGCTTTATCTCTATAGTATGTTCCTGCCTGGCATATTCCCCAAAAAGGAAAAGGTTAATGCTGAAAGCATGGTTTTATACAGGTAGGAGATGAATCATACGAGTCTTTTTCTGCCGAGAAAGAAGCGATACTCTCGTCCTTGGCGAGACGTGCTAAGGTTAGTGAGAACTGACATATAGGACAAACTTGACCTGATTATCTGAACCTGACTATAAAACCTGTTGATATAGCAAGCAAAGATGATGTTTGTAATTTGCCCAACTGAGTTCTTTTAGCTTCAACTTTTTAAATGATCTAATTCTCGTCTTTTTTGCACATCTATTTTAACAATACCATCAGACACTAGAAGAAGCACTGAATAGTTTGGAAGGAGTGACATGCAATAGGGCAGAAGGGGCTATGTATCTTTTTCCATGTATTAATTTACCCGATAAAGCAATAAAAGCAGCAGAAGAAGCTAAAACTGCACCAGACACTTTTTATGCTAAACACCTTCTTAATGCCACTGGAATTGTTGTAGTGCCAGGCTCTGGATTCCGTCAGGTAATTCTTACATTTATAGCTATGGTAAATGTCATTATTAATACTGATAATTTTTGTAATTATTTACCATTTTCAACAAATTTACACGACTCTTTCACTTAAATAGTGAAATATTGTTGAAGGAAAAATAGGCATTTTTAATCTTCTCTTACACCTTAGTATTTGGTTCTTGCTCGTGTATAGGTTCCTGGAACCTGGCATTTTAGGTGCACAATATTACCACAAGAAGAGAAGATACCAGCTATCGTATCTCGTCTTACAGAATTCCATAAAAAGTTCATGAATGAATTCCGCGGCTAAGGAATCAGAGAGTACCTCCTACCTGAAACCTAATAACAGAGAATTTGGAATAAGCAGTGCCTGTTGACTCCTGCCTGCAAATGTTGTCTGCCTACTTCTATAGTAGAACTGTAAGGACTGTAGTGTCCCAAATTTTGGGGCTTTATTTCTCATTTTCTAGTTGGGATTTGCTTGTAATTGATGCTTCAGCTCATACAGTGTAGCCTATTAATTTATCCCAGCCTCAGAGATTGAGGCAATGATATCTTTTAGATGGTCACTTAACTTTGAATAGTTCACTTAGAAAGTCATTTAACTTTGAATTGTTTACTTTGAAAGTCACTTAACTATTGGTATTTCACTTAGAAAGTTACTTAACTATTGATATTTCACTTAAAAAGTCACCAATCAATTCAAATGTGTTTTTCATTAAATTTTGTTGAAATCTAATTTTATTTTAAACTCTTTTTTAAGAAATAAGAAGATATCTGTTTTAATTCTCTTACTAATTCATTTCAATTATTTAATTAAATTTTTTTGAACTGTAGCAATAGACAAAAAAAATCATTTCCCATTCTAGCATTTGTTTAGTGGAATTAAATATAAGCTGAAAAATGATCCAACAAAAGGACATTGGAATTGATCACAACTAATTAAGAAGTAATCAAAAGAACGCACAATAGCAATCTTTTATCATTAAAAAAAATTGGTTTAAAACTAAAAATTATATCTCAACAAAATTTAATAAAATAATTAAATAACCATTTTATTATTTTTAAAAAATAATAGTGTTTTTAGTTGGGTGACTTTTTAGGTAAATTATTAATAGTTGAGTGACTTTCTAAGTGAAATATCAATAATTGAGTGACTTTTGAGTTATAAAATAAAATTGAGTCAGTTTCTAAGTAAACTATTCAAAGTTGAGTGACTTTCTAAGTGAGTTATTCAAAGTTGAGTAACTATTTGAAATATTAACTCGACATTCCGTGGAAACATACACAAGTCAAACTTTTGAAGACAAATTAGTATTTGTTCAAAGAGTTGTCAATATGAATCTGGCTCAGATGAAAGGCAGAAATTGATGAGTAAAACGTGTGTTTTGCTCACCCGCCTGACTTATATTTATAATATAGAATAATCACAATTACAATCCTATTACAACTACAATACATAGAGATCAACTCTAACACAAACTCTAACACCCTCCCTCAATCTGAACGGGAAGAGTGAACGTGAAGATTGGCAGTTAAATCACGAAAACGTGAAGAGGCCAATACTTTGGTAAACAAATCAGCAAGTTGCTCAGATGTATGGACATGGGAAACCACTAAATCACCATGACTAATCTTTTCACGAACAAAACGATAGTCTAGAGCAACATGTTTTGAACGGGAGTGAAAAACTGGATTGTGAGCTAGATGAATGGCTCCAATATTGTCACATTTAGCAGATACCGGAGAAGTAAGAAAAACACCAAGATCTCGAAGAATATATTGGAGCCAAGTAGCTTCAGCAGTGGCAACAGCAAGAGCTCGGTACTCTGCTTCGGTACTTGAGCGTGCAACAGTAGGTTGTTTCTTAGCAGACCAAGAGATAAGATTAGAGCCAAGAAAAATACAAAAGCCAGTTGTGGATCGTCTGGTGGCTGAACAACCAGCCCAATCAGAGTCAGAGAAAACAGTAAGCGACAAGGAAGAATTCTTATACAACTGTAAGCCCCAATCAATTGTGCCAGCGAGATATCGAAAAATGCGTTTTACTGCTTGAAGATGCAATTGTCGCGGTTGGTGAAGAAACTGAGAAGCAAGGTTGACAGCAAATTGAATGTCCGGCCTAGTAAAACACAAATATTGTAGACTCCCAACCATTTGACGATAAATAGAAGGATCTTCAAGCAAAGGAGAAGAAGTAGAATTCCAATCCAACTTACTGTGAAGTGGAGTTAGCACTGGTTTACACTTCTCTAATCTGAAGCGATGAAGAAGTGAAGTAGTATAACGATGTTGAAGTAAAAGAAGTCCCAAAGAGTTGCGTTTCAATTCAATGCCAAGGAAGTAGTCAAGCTGTCCCAAGTCCTTCATAGAGAATTCGGAACTCATTGAAGAGATGAACTCGGATACTAAGGACTTAGAAGAGCCAAAAACTGCTATATCATCCACATAGATTAAAAGAGTAATGCAATCAGCCCCCGAGTGAAAAATGAACATACTTTGATCTAAAACACACAGTATAACGATGTTGAAGTAAAAGAAGTCCCAAAGAGTTGCGTTTCAATTCAATGCCAAGGAAGTAGTCAAGCTGTCCCAAGTCCTTCATAGAGAATTCGGAACTCATTGAAGAGATGAACTCGGATACTAAGGACTTAGAAGAGCCAAAAACTGCTATATCATCCACATAGATTAAAAGAATAATGCAATCAGCCCCCGAGTGAAAAATGAACATGCTTTGATCTGAAACACATTGCTTAAATCCTAGATCAAGAAGGAAACGAGCAAGACGATGGAACCAAGCCCTTGGAGATTGTTTAAGACCATAAAGAGCACGCTGCAACTTGCACACATAATTGGGATAATCTGGATGTTCAAAGCCCTTAGGTTGACGCATATAAACAGTCTCGGATAACTCACCATGCAAGAATGCATTTGACACATCAAGTTGGTGCATATACCAATTTTTTTGAAGAGCCAAAGATAAGACCAAACGCACTGTGCTAGGCTTAACGACAGGAGCAAAAGTCTCAAAATAGTCCACCCCGGGCTGCTGCGAAAAACCTTGAGCCACTAAACGAGCTTTAAATCTTTCAATAGAACCATTTGCACAAAACTTGATCCGAAACACCCATTTGTTGCCAACAATATTTGCATTTGGAGGAGGCGGCACCAAGGTCCAAGTTTTGTTGTGGACAAGAGCATCAAATTCAGAACTCATTGCCTGCATCCAACGAGAGTCTTTACAAGCTTGAGAAAAGGAAGTAGGTTCGGATAAAATGGAACATGTGGAAGCTGTTAAGGAAGGAAGGACGCGCGGCTTGAGCGATCCTGTTTTAGAACGAGTGACCATATGATGAGTTTGAGGATTAACAATGGGTGATTGTGAGGGAGATAGTTGAAGATTATTAGATGGAGAAAGGGTCTGCATGGAAGGGGCAGGAGATGAAATATCTCGTTCAAGAGGAGCAGCAGAGGAGGGATCCAAAGTGGAGACTACAGGTAGTTGGATGGGAGTAACACTACTAGTTGAAGGAAGAGAATTGGCAGAGGTATTCCCCTGATGTAAAGGAGTCTGGAGACTCCTATTTGGAGGAGGAGGCTGCGAAATAGATGGAGTTGGAGTACTCCTAATTGAAATGTGATCCCGAGTAGGTAAAATCAGACTACTACTCCTTTTTGAAGGTCCTCCAAAATGAGTGATATGAACGGGAGAGGTAAAAGACTTAGAATTAGCAAAAATAGATGGGAATAAGGTAGAATTGGGTGAAGAAGTTGGCGGAAGAGTGGGAAACATACTCTTAAATGGGAAAGAGTCCTCAACAAAATGAACATGCCGAGAGATGAGAATTCTATTTGAGCAAGGATCCAAGCATTTAAATCCTTTATGTTTATCTGATGAACCAAGAAACAAACATGGTTTAGATCGAGGGTGGAACTTAGAGCACTTATTAAATGCCACAAAGGGATAACATAGGCACCCAAACACACGGATTGAATCGTAATCAGGGATATGGCCATAAAGTAGTTCAAACGGAGATTTATAATGCAACACTGGAAGAGGGGTTACATTGATAAGAAAGACAGCATATACACAAGCATCACCCCAATATTTAAAAGACATAGATGCTTGAAAAATAAGACAACGAAGAACATTAGCAATATGTCTATGTTTTCTTTCAGCCCTACCATTTTGAGCAGATGTGTGAGGACAAGAAAAACGATGAATGATGCCATTTTGCTGGAAAAAGGATTTAAAGTTTTGGTTAACATATTCTCCACCCCCATCAGATTGAAAATAGGAAATAGAGGTGTGAAAAATATTTTTAACCATTGTATGAAACTCTTTGAATTTTTCGAAGGATTCAGATTTTTCACGCATCAAATAAATCCAAGAGAATTTAGTATAATCATCAAGAAATAAAATATAATAACGATAACCAGAATTTGAGGCAACAGGAGCATGCCAAACATCTGAATGAACTAAAACAAATGGAGAATTTGCATTTCTACTAGATAAAGAGAACGGCATTCTAGTTTGTTTGCCTAAATGACAAACATTACAAGAATTATTGCAGAAGGAAAAATTACTACTAATCAATTTTCTAGCAACTAACAAACGCAAAGATTGGTGACCAGGATGTCCCAAACGTTGATGCCAAGTAGAAGCAGGCACGACACTAGCGAAGAGACCAAAATTGGAGGATCTGGATGAAGCGATGCGGATGGGATAAAGAGATCCAATATTGTTACAACGGAGCAGTGTTGTATTGTTCTTCTTGTCCTTAACAAAAAAAGTCAGAATCAGTAAATTGAATGAAGCAATTATTATCGGCACATAAACGTTGAATAGAAAGTAAATTTTTAGCAAGGGAAGGAACATATAAAACATTCTTTAGGACAAGAGGTTTAGAGGTTGTAGGAAGAATAGAGGAACCAGTAGAGTTAATGGAGAGAAGAGTACCATCGCCAACCATGACCTGAGAAGAACCAGAGTATGGAGTATGAGAAGTAAGGGTAGAAGGATTATTTGTCATATGCGCCGATGCTCCAGAGTCCGGATACCAAACTGTTGGGTGAACCTCCTCCAAATTCATAGCAGCAAATGATTGAGGAATATTGTTAGCTACAAAGGAGTGATTGAACCTGTTTCTACACTCCAAGGCAGTGTGGTTATAGTGAAAACATATTTGACACTGTTTAGCCGGAGTAAATGGTGGTCGTCCCAAAATACCATTAGCGGGTGAAGGATGTCGAATATTATTTTGAAAATTCGACCATGAAGAATTATTGGATCCTCGACCCCTACCATATTGTCCTTTGTTATTCCTGCCACGACCTCGGCCATGTGAGTGTCCTTTCGCAGGTTGTTGTCCATGAGGGGATGATGCAGCAGAATTGGTTTGCCCATGAGTTGTCACAAGCAAGGCAGAATTAAGATTTGATTCTTCTGAAGAAATTGTACTAATGTGGGCTTCTTCCGTGAGGAGAAGTGGTCGTAACGCAATAAAAGTAGGAAGAGAGCCAGTGGCATTTAATCCAGACACAAAAGTACGATAAGATGAAGGTAGGCCTTGCAAAGCCTGAGTGACTAAATCGTCATCCGTCAAAGGCTTGCCAATTGCCCTTAGAGAGCAGGCAATCGAGTGAAGTTGTTGAAGATAATCCTCCATAGAAAGAGAACCTTTCTTGAAATTTTGAAATTTCGACTTAAGATGAATGGAGGAGGAAGAAACTTGATCCAAATACAGTGAGGCTAAAGTGTCCCAAGCTTCTTTAGATGTCTCACAAGAATAGTTCAAAAGTGTATCAAGAACTGCCGTCGAAAGTGTTGCATTAATCCAACTCAATGCAATAGTATCACACTGAATCCATAATTTATATTCTTCATGATTTGGCGATGGACACAATATTTTTCCCTCTACAATGGACAACAGATTATAACTTTTCAGAACTGTGACAAAAACCTTCTTCCAAGTAAGGTAATTGACATATGTCAATTCAATAGGGACAAAACCTTTGATATTAGAAATTGTTGGAGGGGGAACGGGAAGACCAAGGGAAGATTGATTAAAGGTTTGTTGAGTAGAAGAGGCGGAGGATGTTTCTGGGGCCATTGAAAAAAAGAGATAGGAAGAATCGTATATGGCTCTTGATACCGAGATGAAAGGCAGAAATTGATGAGTAAAGCGTGTGTTTTGCTCACCCGCCTGACTTATATTTATAATATAGAATAATCACAATTACAATCCTATTACAACTACAATACATAGAGATCAACTCTAACACAAACTCTAACAGGCTCAATATTATTTTAGTGAAATGAGTTGAGTCGAAATCCCATAGGGTGGTTAAAAACGTTCTTCCTTAATTAATCTTGTTGGTATTAATGAATACAACATATAAATAAAGTGCAATAAAAAAAGTTTAAAAGTGGTAAAATTACTAGTATTTATTAAGTATTTCCCAAAAAGGATAACTAATATAATACGAAAGAAGTATAAAATTGAAAACTACTCTTTAAATATTCTACTTTGAATATTGACGAATTCTATATAACACTACTATATATAATCTATGCGTTTGGCCTTATATATTTTCTACTGGTGGGTAGAAATTTGTCTCGTAACTCCACGACATCGATGGTATCGAAGTGAGTTTCTGGTATCCAATTTCCAGTTTTAGAATCTCTCATTCAAATTACATCTTTCTCTACACCTTTCGACGTAGAAATCGAAGGAGATGGAGACGATTCGATCAATTTCTTGATATTCGAAACAATAGTCCGCACTTTAAAATTATCTATTGTGTATCTCCTGAGATTGAGAAGGAGAACATTGGTGAAGGGAACCCTAGACATATTATGTATGAAGAGTATATTGAAAAGTTACAGATTGAGATGGATGTATAAATTTGAAAGTTTAATTTAACAATATGTGTTTTGATTGATGGTTAAAAGAATATTAAACTTTATAATATATATTTAGGCAAGCCTGATTGAATTAGTAACCTGATAGGATTTGGATTATGAGAAGAGACTAGTAAAATTGCGTATCTAATAGGACTTGGATTATGACAATATAAAAGGAATCACAATTATTATCTTAATTTAGGCATGCACGTTACTTAAATATATCATCAAACAAATAAATAAATATGTGAAGGACAATTAACACATAATTATTGTCATTGCTTGAGAATTAATGATTGGTCACGGTTGGTATCCTCTTTAAATTCTTATCAATTTAATGAGACTCTTGATCACGATTAATACCCCTCTTAGATTCAGGCCACAATTTTTTTCAACTCTAGTAAATATTAAACTATTTGCTCTAATACTAAATTATATAAATTAAATAAAAGGGTTATAAAAGACTAATACTATTTTAGAT